TCTTTTTTCTCTCTGCCTTTCCCTCTCTCTCTCTCTTTTTCTCTCTGCCTTTCCCTCTCTCTCTCTTTTTCTCTCTGCCTTTCCCTCTCTCTCTCTTTTCTTTTTCCCTCTCTCTCTTTTCCTCTCTCTCTCTCTCTTTTTCTCTCTGCCTTTCCCTCTCTCTCTTTTTTTCTGCTTTCTCTCTCTCTTTTCTCCCTTTCTCTCTCTCTTTTTCTCTCTCCTTTCCCTCTCTCTTTTCTCTCTTTCTCTCTCTCTTTTTCTCTGCCTTTCCCTCTCTCTCTTTTTTTCCCCCTGCCTTTCCCTCTCTCTCTCTTTTTCTCCCTGCCTTTCCCTCTCTCTCTCTTTTCTCCCTGCCTTTCCCTCTCTCTCTCTTTTTCTCTCTGCCTTTCCCTCTCTCTCTTTTTCTCTCTCCTCTCTAAGGGACTTTAAAGTCTAGATCTTTTAAATATATTTTCTATTCTGAACCCTTGGTTCTGAAAATTCAACACTCTGATTAGTTCTTCACAAGTCTCCTGAATTGATACCCCCAACAATCAAATCAAAATCTTGGAAATTATTCCTATCATGTTAATAACATTGTATTACATTCCTGTTTGCTTGTTTCCTTTTACCGGTGGATAATCTATTTCTTTGCTTGGTTAATATTTGAGCAACACTAACTTGAAGAAAAGAATAATATAATATGGAATAAATGTTTATAATATGTCATCTCCATGACAGTAATATAATAATAAAACCTACAAGGGAAGCATTTCTATTTTGTTATATCTGTCCCACACCTACAAGTATTCACATGTCTGGAAAAAGAGAAAGGAGTTGTGTTAATGTGGGGCTTTGCAGGAACAAGATTTTCATCTAGCTTCTTTTCATAAATGCAGATCATTAACTCATTTTTTATCTGACTATCTCAAGGCCTATACTTATTTTCTAATGCCGTGTGGAGACTAAGTGCAAGGAAATTATCATGTAACTTAGATTGGTTCTCTTTTGTCTGTGTTCCTATTTAATAATTCTGATTTTGTTTCTCTCCCTTTGAATACTGTCTTTATTCTGCACCAAAATCCAGCTCAGATTTCATTTCAGTCGCAAAGACTCAATGTAACCTTTATTCATAGCTAGCAATATATATTATGTATACACATGGTGACATGTAGTCATTCATAGACAATTCAAAAATATATTAACTTTAAATAAAACAGAGGTTATTAGAGTCAAATATCTTTTAAATATTTTCTTTTATGTGCTGTATTCCTTTCAGGACATGGATAATCATGGCTTTCCACAATTTCCTGTCTTTTGATGTTCTAAGTAACTTTGACCTTTTACCATCCTTTTTTGTTGTCCTTTTCTGCCATCACATCACAAATTTGTACATTACTTATTGTTTCCCTATTTTTCTCTTGCCTTCAATTTGTCCTGTGAGTGTTAGATTTTTCATGCCCTCTTTCATCCTTGTACCAGATATTTCCACTGTCTCTTTCTGATTGCAAGTATATAAGTTTATTTATAGTTCTTAAATTCATTAAAACTTCAGTGTTCAAATGTTCTCTCTGTGGTATTCTTAGCATTTGTTAGTAGAACCACATCTCTGTTACTTAAAGTCTCCTCTTCATCTGTGAAGAGATTGTTTAGCATTCACTGCCATATTAGAGTATTGATATTGCACAGCAGATCAGCACTCTTTTAATACTTTTAGTTTATGAAAGGCATCTCTTAGATACAGAATTAGAAAAAAAAACAAGACACAATCAGCAAACTAACAATGAAACTTAAAGTTTACAAAGAAAAACAGAAGTGTGTAGATAAAATTTTCTATGTTGAATAAAAGAAATTAACTCATCACTCCTTAATATAAAACAATGATATTCACCTTTTGTCTAACTGTTCCAAATGTGATACATGATCACTTTGCTCCTTGCTTTCATTTTACCAAAATTTAATTAGTGTTGGGTATTCAACTCCCATTCCAACATCTTCTCATTCCTGATTCTATCTATGTTCTCCAGATCCTTTATCACTATAAGTTGCTTTTTAAAAGAAAACGTAATGGCTTTCCAAGGGTAAATTTTGGTCATCTGTAAAGGAAAAGGGTTCAATCATAGCTAAATTCACCACTGTTTCTACATGTAGTTATATTTTATGATACATACTTTTCCTGTCAATGGCTGTTTGCCAGATTGCCTTCTGTTGGCATGAAAGTAGAAAATTCCAGAAAATAAAACCTTTTTCATTTACTCTCTCACTCACTCACTCACACACAGTGTATGAGAAAATATATTTACAGAGATTATGTGATGCATTATATATATGATTGTATGTGTGTGTCAAGAATATATCAAGGAGGTGCTGCAAATTTCTTGGTCCAGTCTACTTCCTATAATCAGTATTCTGATATTTATTCATGAACATACTGACTTTAGGAAGTGTGTATGTGTGTGTACACACTTCCTGTGTAAGCAGTCAGTACATGTACACACTCACATATTCATATATGGTTAAGTTACATATTCAAAAATCAATCAATCACATTTCAACAATTCCCCCAACAAACAAACAAAAACTAAGAAAAAAGATTGAATAATAAAAAATAAGAAGAGAAAAAAAAAGACATTACTGGAAATGAAAAAAAAAAAAACAATTGAAGAAAGATTTATTTCTATTGTGAGAATGAAAGTGTAAAAATGGTTGATAGCTAAAATTGATAACATGAAAGATATTTTGTGTGACTCAGGATGAAAAGAAGGCAGAAGAGAAAAAACAAGAAAAATCAGTCTTTCAGAGTGAAGGAAAAAGGAATTGAAAATATACAAAAACGTATGTAGTGACAGAGAAAAAAATGAAGAAAATAAAAAAAAAACAATAAAAATGAAGTAATTAAATAGGTGTAAAAAGGAAGGGATGAAATAATAAGAAAAACAAAGAATAAGAAAAAGTTTTGAAGAAAATAAATGAAAATTTGCAAGTACTGAAAAAGAATGTAGTCAGAAACAATAGAGTAACAAAAAAGCCAGGGAAGAGGTGGGGAACTAAACTAGAATTGAAATTTTGCCACATTTTGACATGTATATATAGATAATGGTTTTAAATGTTTTTTTGTTTTTTTTCTTTCTTCTGCATGGTCATTGCCATTGGTTTGATTTTTATTCATAAAGTAGGAGGAAGAAAAATAGAAAATGAAATTTGGTAGAAAGAAAAAAACACAAAATATAAAAATGACTAATGTTAATTCTTTGTTTTCAATAGGTTTATATCTACTTTTTGCATTTCCTTATATTGTATTAATATATAAGTTTTTTCTTGTTTTAACCTTGTGCATTGTAATATAACATTTCTTGCCTCCCAACTCTCTTGTTATAAAACAGGAAAATTATATCTGATGTGTTTTGTATTGACAAGTACTTTACTTAACCTTTGGGTAGGGATCAAATCTTTGCATCTATTTTCCTTTCTGCTGCGTTTCTGCTACTGTGCAGTTTGTGGTTTGTAACAAGGAAACAGTTACAGAACCTCCTTCATTGCACTGAAAAAGGAAGGGTTGGTAGATACCAATGCCAGCATGACAGTGCTTGCAGAGACTGAGCAACTTTTGTTCTTGGTCCATATTTACATGCAAGTGCATCCCATGTTAAACTGACCATGTGTCATATTACTGCAACTATTAAAATAAGTAAAAGTGTAAAGCTTAAAAAGTTAGCATCACAAGAAAATTTAATCCATAACTGGGTATATTCCAATATTTAAACCTCAAGTGCCCATTTTTATTCTCTCTTCATTTTAAATTATTAGCTCAAACCTCTTTTTAACTCTGGGATGTGACTTCAGTGAATTGCAATTCTATAACATTCAGAACAAACAAAGCTTGTTTCTGAATATACTTAGATAATCTAATGCAATCAGATGACAGGATCGTGCTATGTTATTTCATCTATAGCAGATTGCAAGCTCACATGACATTTCTTTCCAAATGTTTTGATCTAATACAACTTTATTCATTGGACCAATCAGACTATAACCCAGGTGTCTCCAACCATTTTTGTGTCATCACCCACCTGTATAATAAATATTCAAAAGCATACAATGATGGGTAAATTATGTTTTGACAGGCACTTTTACTGCCTTGATAAATTCAAGATGGTCAATGTGATTTAAAAAAAAGTATATATTAAATAATTATATTAAATAAAAATTATCCTGAGGTTACTTCTTAATTTTACTAGCAAAATTGTTTTTGGTCTTCTCTTATCTGATTTACATTTGAAAAAAAAAAATGTTATTTCATCTGAAGAACTATATGAATGTTAATGATCTTTCTCAAGAAAACTATAGAAAATACCAAAATATTCCTTGTTTTGGGGGGTATTTATATCTTATCTAGGAATGTGACCCAGTTATTTCTATTCCTGTTTTTGTTTTAATACAGGTTCTTTGCATATCTCATTTGAATTTTTTTTTTTTTTTTTAATAGCATATGTTGAAATACCTTTTTAATACGCCGTCTACTGGTAGGTGATATAACTACTGCTATAACCAGTTTGAGGATCTTTCCTTTCTATATGAATTTAAGTTGATCACTTTTTTTTTTTTTAACTGTTTAATATATCCCAAGATATGATTTTTTTTTTTTTTTTTTTTTTTTTTGATTTCTGTCAAACAAAGGAAAAGTATTTGTCATATTTTATAGTGTTATTTAGTTTTTACACTGGTCAGTAATTAAATGTATACTGTAGTTTTGGAAGCCTTCAACATTTTTAGAAACTTTGCCATTCCATGAAATGTGAGCAAGTCCATATGTAAGAACTAGGAGAATGTATATTTCATATATTTTGACTTAAGTGTGTAGTGAAATTCTTTTTTATTTTAACATTGTTTCAATGCTACTCATCCTAGACCTATTCTGTAATTTAGTTGCATGATTGTTGGAAGCTAATAGTTTGTGTCTCAGATATACAGATTCAGTAACTTAATAGGTTTATTGTATATTTTCATATTTAATGGTGGTTATGCTTGGTCTATTATCATACCTCACCTTTTGGTTTGTTGGTAATCTATCAAGAGATGATGACTCAAGAAAAGAAAAATCCTTCAGCAGTCCAGTCTGGCAACTCAGAGGGATGTATCAGTTAATATATACTCACAAAGATGAGAGAAACTTTATACTATTTCTCTATTACATAAACATTCTTTACTCTTAAAACTAACTGAATAAATGGCATTCAAGTTTTCTTTAAATACTCCTCAATACCAGCAATTACTTGTAAAGGTTTTACCATTATATAATTACTTTGTAACTTGCAAATTATAAAAATAAAAAATCCTTTAGTATACCAATAATATACCAGTAATAAAGGGAAGCAGTTTTTATTTCCTTTGCTGTAATTCATCATTGTGTATGTACTTCTAAAATTTTATATTTATAAATCTGTTTATATCTTGACAGAGATTACAATTCTTTTTTACAACAACTTTTCTTCATTTGATTGCAATTTGATTGCATTTTGTAGCATGATTGGTATGAAGCATTGATCAAGTTAATCTATTGCAATTGTGAATACCTTTCCCTTTCCGCCATAAATTTCAATATAATCCTTTTGTTCTTTTCTTTGTTTGCCATCCCCTCTTTCTCTCTCCTCCTCCTCCTCAAATATTTCCTCTAGTTTATCTTTGTCTGACCTCCTCAATCTCATTCCACTTTATCTCTCTCACCTCTCTCTCTGTTTGTGTCTCTTTCTTTACATCTTACTATGTCTGTCAATTCTGTCATTAATTTCTGCATTTTCTTCTTTTCCAGTTCTGTTCATCTCTTTCCACTTCTCCCAATTTAGTCTTTCTATCCCTGCATCTTTCTCTTTGTCTTTAATTCTCTCTCATTCTCCTTAGTTCTGCTTGTTTGTCTATCCTCTCTTTCTCTCGCTTTCCTTCAGTCTGAACCAGTTTCTTAATTTCTTTTGCTTATGTCTTTTCAGTGCTTAATAACTTTGCACCTCCGGCCAGTTTCCCCTCCGCTACCTCTCCAGCCAACGGGCGTGGATTCCCAGCAGCCAACAGTCCAGGTCCCATTGAACTGTACAATTCCGGCCAAGAGAGCCTCGGTTATGTCCAGGCCACTAGTCCACAGCCTTCAGGATTTGGGCCAAGTATAACAACAAATAGAGTATGTAGAATACTAAATATTTTTTTTATCTATGAAAAAAAAAAGACTGTTTTGACATTCTGACATGATTTAATCATTACATATAATTTTAAATTTTAGATGTGTTTCTTCAGTTTTTTCTAGATTTAGTTAATAATAATAAAGGTTGGCTACAAATTTGATAAAAGTTGCAAAAAAAAGATAAACTTATCACAAGATATTTTAGATGGCTTTTTCAAAGCCACACATTGGCCAAATAAATGTCCATAAATTGTTTGTTGATTATTAAGGATATTTATTAAGAGTAGAACCAAAAACAGAGTAGTGTCATTGCAACAGCCTTCTATGTTGGGAATTTTTTTTTTTTTTTATTTAATGCTATGATCTTTCAGGATGTAAGCAATCATTACTCTCTACAGATTCCTTTTTCTTTATCTGTGAATTGCCATGACTTTTTGGAAAAGGTAGTGGAATAATTTCTCATTGCCTTTTCTATAGTTTGGAATTCATAGTTGCCTTTATCTTAGACTAACTGCCAACCAAGTTTAGAGAGCCCAGTCTGCTTTGGTATTTTGCTCATAGCTATGGATGCATGCCTTTCCCAAAGGTATCATTTTAAAAGTGAACACAGCAGACTAGGAAGTACTGACCTGCCTTGAAAATTGTTTGAAATATTGACTTTTGCAATCTCCAGCACTGTGTACAGGTAGGAAATATATAACTACCTTAGCTATCCACCAGGCTTTTGGAACCCTTTTTTTTCTGTATTACTGCTCTCTGATCTTCATCCATATGACACTGTATTCAACTTGTCATTATCATGTTTGATCTTGTCTCTGTTCATTTATGCATACATTCCATCATATCTCCAAATCACTTTGTTTTAAATTTAATTCAATAAAGACTATGTTAAGATTCAGGTCGAATTGAAATTTGTCATTTCGTAAGTTGCTGGAGATATCTTCAATTCTGGTTAATTTTCCAAAAAAGAAAATCAGTTCTTTACCATTTTTTTTTTTTTTTTTACAAAAATGTATTTTGTGTTAATTTTAGCTTTCAGCTCTTATCATTAAAGTTTAACCTTGCGTGCCAACAAACTTAAATGTCTGTAAAAATTTCAAAATTGATTTATTTATTTTTATCTGTATACATTCATTATTTACAGCACCTTCACCAAGTTCTTACTAACAAAAATACATATTGTAAAGATGCAATATGGAATTTTCACTGATTATACTAGTGAAACCTGAACTTTTTAGATAATCATGAGATTGAATTCTATGCAAAATATCCTCTTAAAGAATGATACAGAATTCCTTGAAAGTCATTGTACTAACAGATAAAAGGTTAGAGAATTCTTTGAAGTCAACAGCTAAAATCGAAGACCTTTTCTTTTTTCTTTTTTTTTTTTGCAAGAATTCATAGTTAAAAACTAAAGTGACCATGTCCCCTATTTTGTATTGAATAAATGTGCAGAAAAATATTCTGAAAAGGCCAAAGAATGAACAGATCAAAGCAGCAAGGAATAAAAATGATGAGGGTTGTTTTAAAAATTCATTATTAACATTTGCATCAGTGACTAAATTATGTCTTCCAAAAATTAGAAATTCAAATTATAGCCATAGATTATGACCATAATGCCTGACACGTTAATGAAGACATTATTATGTATGATCATCCTATTCTGACAGTTATGCTAACCTCAATTCTTGATCAATAATAATTCATCTCTTTTTGATTTTCAATTCAAAATATATAAATTAAGTGCCAAAACAAATTATAGGTTCAAAATGTAAAATTTGGCATTAAACTATTAATATTTTCCCCTATCACCAGAAAGAGTTAGTGTAGAAAATGCTGAAACCAGATTAAAGAGGCAGTAGTGAGGTAAGTCAGTGGACAGTTATATAAAAAAAAAAAAAAAGAAGTTTTCTATAATCAAAACAAAAAAATATCTATGATTGTTGCTTTATTTTTTCACCCTATTGTCAAGATTTTTGTGTCACTCCAATCATTAGAAGTGAATTTTTATTACTATCTAATTATTTGATAGTTCCTACCTATGATATCATGGTTTCACATAAAACCAGCTGGTTAGTTCCATGTGCCATGTCTCATCAGAATGTGGGCAATCATGACTCTCCACAACTCCTTGCCTCTTGCTACCCTAAATACTTTTGATCCTTTAAAATCTCTTTGTCCTTTTTCTGCTATCCATTCACACAAAGTTGTTAGGTAGGCTATTCATTGTCTCTCCCACCGTCTCTTGCCTTCATATCCTGTGAGTGTTAAATTCTCTTAACCTTTTTTCTTCATTATGCAACCCAAAATTTCAGCTGTTTCTTTCTGATTGTTAGCAACAGTTTCTTAAAACTTCCTCATTGCTCACGTGTTATGTCTATGGTATTCTCAGCATTAGTCAGCACAACCACATTTCTGTCACTTCAAGTCTAATCTTTATCTATGGAAGAGATTGTCAAGCATTCATTGCCATATAGGAGATTTCATATTACATAGCAGTTCTGCACACATTCCTTTGTTTCCAATGAAAATGTATAATATTTTCTTCTTTGAATTCCAGGGCCCTCTTATCACTGCAAGTTATCATAATGGATACCACTGAAGAACTGGGACTGCCAGCTTGTAGTGCTACTGGCACTAATCATGGTAAGGATTTCTTTCTTACTGTAGGCATTACATTAAACTGAACTAACCACAAAATAAGACATGTAGCTCTTCCTTTCACCTGAACAACAGTGTTATATGGCTAGATCTATCAAGGCCCATTCCAGGACTATCCATAATTGAGTTGTTTGCTGGGAATTTATTGAGGCCTACAGCATGACACATACAGGTGTAATGGGATTTAGATCTGGTGAGTGCAGTGGCTAGTGGAATATCTAAAAGTGTTATAATTTCATATGTTATGATGGAACTATTTTAGTTGAAAAGGAAAACACACAGATGGATATCTGTATTACAAGCCTTTATTTACATATGTACATTTCAGGAAGCAGTCAAGCATAGAACTAACAAAACTCATAATTTCTAAAACACTGGGAATAGATAAGTTCATTTCACTATCCAACCACAAATCAACATGTCTGTTTTAATCTAAAAGAGAAAGTCAGCAGTGTGCAAAATGTAAGCAACAAAGTCTATATATGGCACACCTGTATAAGATGGATGTGCATCGTGAATGTTGAAGAAATACAAATGTGCCTGAGCAGACATCTGCAAATGTAATTAGCTAGCCATCTTACTAGACTCTATAGTCTTTTGAGACTAATGGATGCCTACATGTATAGATGTACTCTAGTTTCACTAAAGGTTCTTTCTGTACTTCAACAGAACCTCTACTCCCACATCATTACAAAGCTACCACCAGCTTGCTGGATCCATAACTTCATCCAGTCTCCTATGCATAAACTTGACCAGTTGCCTAAAATAGTTGGGAAATGCAAAATTAGTCCAAACAACAGTCTTTCATAGTGTCCAATGACAATTTTCTTTGACTCAAATCAGGTGTAGTAACCAATGCCATGGTGTCAATATTAATAATAATAATAGCTGTCTTGTTGATCAATGATTGCAAAGCCCCATTAAATGCAATGTACACAGAACAATGTGTTCACTAATGTATAAAGCAGTACTAGCATTGTATTGGGATGTGACTTGATGCAATGGTTCCCTTTGTTTGGTGGGGGGACCATCCTCATCAATCACTGGTATTTGCAATTTTCACATACTGCAAATATCTGTCCAGATATCACACATCCTTAATATGCCCTTGCTACAGTAGTTGCCATTTTGGAGATAGTGCCTCATCTTTCTGGCCCCAATATATTGCAGTCAAACTGTTAAATCCTGTCCACATCCTAAGACTGCAACAGCTATACTGCTTCTTTACCTATTATGTCACGCACATTATTCAACTGAATCTATTTCTACAAGTGTGGGAGTGCAAGACCATTCAGTATATTGGATGGTCTTGCACTCAATTTTTGACACTTCAGTTTTGTTAATTATATTTCTTGCAATTGCCATGAACATAAGAAACCAACATTTATCTGATGAATGATTTAAGAAATCAAAATAAATTTCTGAAATTAATTATTAAAGGATTATAAATAATACCTTATTAATAAAATAAAAATTGATTAATATTTAAGTTTCCCTATAAATATTGCTGCTGCCTTTAAAATTCTTCAAGACTGAAGCAGTTTTCTTGGAAATTCTTTACAAGAAGTTAAAAAAAAATGTATAGATTTTTACTCGGTTTCATATCCTTCACTTCACTTTACAGTATATTTATTTTCTTTTTCCATCTTCTTTAATCTTTATGGAACTGGGGTAATTAGTGATAGATGTTGGAAGAGAAGTAGTTAAAAAATAAAGCCTCTATATTAAAATGTACAGTCTTTGGTTTATCTATTGTACTCTAGCACACTTTATTCTTAGTACATTTATCATACACAAAAACCAGAAAACTAGTTTTCTTTGCCTTCATATGTAGGTAGTCATGTTTAATGCCTCTTCAAAAAATTAAGGTTCTAAAAATATAACCCAACACTATTTGGAGTCTAAATGCAGGTCATTTTTCTTCTTGCCATCTGATATATTATTTTACTACAATTAGTTTTGTTTATATATTATGAGTAAATAATATTTTTCAAGCAGTAATTAGGATCCCTAAAATAATTTGAAGATCCTTGGTTTCTTATATTGGGCAGAATCATACTTTATTTTCAATACACTTTTCACAAAAACAAACTGCAGAACCCATGGTGCTTTAAAAATAACAGTTTTATACAATCAGCCATTTTAATTTTTTTTTTTTTCTATTATTGTTAAGGGACATTGAGGTTCTCTTTACAGAAAGTTACAAGCTAATTTGTAAACTCCTTGGGTTATCGAGTTAATTTGTATATCGTGTAAGTATCTGGAGAATACTAAATGTGTTACATTAACAAAATCCCATTATACTAGCTTGTTAACCTTGTTCTAAAGCAAACACCTTTATAAATATTTATTAAGCTTAGTTTACTTTGACACACAGAGAAAAAGGAGGATGGTTGTGTGCTAATCTTGAAAATTAGCATTCAAAACCCTAGCTTTTACTTGTGCACCACCTGTGCCAGTGATAAATATGAAATTGTTTTAACCACCAAGCAGGTTTTTCTATGTGCGTCAAAGAAAAAAATTTAAAAATCTATAATCCTATAATCAGCATAAAGCAGTGTCATTGCTGCTCTAAGAAGAAACTTTACCATTATCCAGAAGTTGTGCATTGTGAATTTATTCAGTTTAGCTGTAAAATTCAATCTGGTGTGCTAATTTCTAACTTGCCTAAAGAAATGCCATAAATCTCTTTACTGCAGAGTGCTATTGATGAAAATGCCATAGCCTATTACTTCATTTACTACTGCATATTGCTGGAATATGTGTGAATAGTGCAATGGTTATCAGTGGAAAAGTGGGATCAGCAAGCCAAGTTTAAGCTTAATTGGTTGCATTCACTTAAAAACAATCCTTCCAGTTATTGTAAAGAGCCATAATTACTTTCATATTGAAAGTACAAAAACTGTTCTTCAGATAACAGTATAATCAAACTTTCAGTATGAATTCTACTTTGATGGGCACTGCATTGCATCAGTACTGATAAAATAAGCAAATTCAAAGCCATTTATTGGGAAGTAACTATTTAATATTCTATGACTGTGATATACTTTGAAGCATTTTCTACTTTTACAGATAGATAGAACTATCATAATTTAATTCTTTCATAACAGCAATGCACTAATTAAAGATAATTTATAGAAAGAAAAGAAAGAAAATGTTTGTAGCTAAGAATAAACAAATTTAGCTTCTAGAAATTCTATAGCTCAGTGCTTAATTGAATGTATGAGAAGCCTTTTTTTTTTAGTTTGAATCTTCCAGTATTAAATTAAAAAAAAGAAAAATTATTAGGTTTTCTGAGGTTTTGTGATGAAGTATTTTTGTCATTCCAGGCATTTTTCAAACCTATATCTTTACCTTAGTTGTTTTTAATGCTGTTTTTGGTTGATATGTTCTTTCTCATTGCTTCTAGTAGTCTTCAGTGAGTTTGCAAGATCACATGAATCAACACACACTTGTGTAAAGCAGAATGACATAACAACTAAAATGTTGTATTTAAAAACAACAAAGATACTATTATAAAAAGTATGCACACAACAGAAAGAAGACTTAGTTATTTTTTTAACACTTGATTCTTACTTTCTTTACATAATTTATAATTTTTTTATTTATTTATTTTAACTTAATAAATAAAATAGGGATTGTTAATTCTTTTATGTTCTATCCACATTTTATTTATAAATACCTATCTTCATTGATTCTTTTATACCAGTTTCCTTGTTTTTATTTTTATTGTGTGTTTGGATGTTGTACCTCATCTCCTTTCTTCAGTGACTGAAATTTTGAGATAATAAAGATTGCAACATCTGGGGAAATTGCTCTGAAAAAAAATCAATTTATAATACTGACCAACTTGTTTAAAAAAAAATAATAATAGTAAGCGAGAGTGCATCAGCCAAAATAGTATGATGAAGACAGTAACCATAAGGAAACAAATCGAAAAGAATCAATGTATAATAGTAATATCTCAAAGAAATGCTATTTATTTTATCAATTAATATAACTCATGTGAGATCACTATTCAAAATTTAAAAATTTATATTTATGATATTTTTCCTTCTTTCCACACACACACACACACACACATATATATATATATATATATATATATATATATATATATTTACTATAAATGTTAATGAGTATGCATGTTTGATTAGGCATCCCTGTTTTTGAACAATTAAATTAATGCCTATCAGTTTAGAATTGAAAGTGTTAAAGAAAATCTACTTCCCAAAAATTTTCTTCATTAAAACTTTCAATATGTAGGCTGGTAGACATTTCACCTTTTATTTTTACTTTTTTAGATATCTTTTCAAACACATGTATCCACTAAATTTACTATTTTTAGTAGTAATAAATAATATCAGATTTAAAAAAACAAACAAGTAATTACTTAAAAATTATTTTTTGTATATGCAGCAAAAATTCATCCAAATGTTTGTCTAATTTTTTATTGAATTTTTCCAAATACTAACCTAATTATTACCAATAACTTGAGACCTTTATTCTAAAGACAACATGAAACTTTATCATTGGCTACACATACACCACACCTGTCACTTAGTACAATTTGTGTATATATCAATCATCATATCACTAACAACATAAATACAACTATTAACATCAGATAAATATTAGTAGATAATACCAAAATGCTATATATGACTCAATGCAGAGAAAGACTCAAAATTCTACAGCCAATTATGATACAAAAGAAACAACCTACATGAAATAAACATATCTTTCACAACAGGAGATGGTCTCTTGAAGTGTGTATAAAATAGTTAATATGTATACAAAATAATAATACATATAAATATTTGAACATGCTTTTTCAGTGCAGTCTAGCCCCATTTAACATCACTTGGACTAATTCAAGTTCCATCTCTAAAAATTGCCAAGATGTAACCAACAAAATCTTATCTACCATATTGGCAACAGCCAGTTTTTGATAATGACTGGGATTATTCAAAATTTTGATATGGATGTACATCTTATTTGAAAATACAACAGTCCAACCTTAGTTGAATTTAACAAAAAAAAAAAAAATGTTGTTTGGGTGTTATATATATATATATATATATATATATATATACACACACACACACACACATATATATATATATATATATATATATATATATATAATTATTTGCTATGTAACTTTTCAGACTGGCTTTGGAGATTTTTGTTGTGGAGTACCAGCGTATCCCTGAGTACCATGACCTTCGGTGATTCTGGTCACTTCCTAAGGAATGACTTTCCTTCTAATTGTGTTCAAGGCAATGAAAGATTGCCTCTCTGGTTTTGTTGGTAAAACTCTTTTTGTGACTCGACGTAACTGTTATGAACATTGTTTGTCCCTATGTATAATATATTCAATGATAATGAAAGGGTTTGTTTGTTTTTTTTTTTTTTTTTGTTTTTAAGAAGAAAAAAACGGATTGTGAACAAAATACAATAACAAATCAAAATCACACACATATATATATATATCTATATATTCAAAATGGTCAAAACGAAAAGCAACATTTTGTTTCCCCTTTCTCACCATTACCAAAAAGTTTTGTCAAGATTATGATAAAAAAGAAGAAAAAAAAAACAAACTTAACACTTGATTTCATTCGTCCATTTTAAATTCTATAATTCACGTTTTAACTTTTTAATATCTTGGATTTATTATTTTAATTTTTTCATTTTCATTTCAAAACAAAAAAAATTTACTCACTTTTTTTTTTTTTCTTTGTTTTTCCTTTAACTTTTTTTTTTGATGAAATATTTACCAAATTTATTCTTTTCAAATTTTCATTATTTTTCTTCAGGTATGTTTCATTCATTCATCACTGAAAAATGTAAAGAAAAAAATAAAAAAAGAAAAAGAAACAAAAAAAATTGAAGGTTATTTGTTGAATAATTGATTCTTACTATCATCCTTATGATTTTTCCCCCAAAAGCTATAATCAACTTTGAAAAAAAATCTTTTGTAACAATCCTTGTAAATTTCTTTCTAACTTCTACCTGTATTCTTTTTAATTTCTTCTGTCTTCTTTTTTTTTTATTACACCTCTGTAAATACATGCCTTTTGATTAACATGAATTGTGTGTTTTTTTTTTTTTTTTTTTTTTTTTTTTGGTTAATTCTACCCTCACCACTATCTGCATTAGTTCATAAAAAGAAGAAAACTGGAATATCTATTTTTGTAATCTCTTTCCTCTCCTTAAAAAATAAAAACAACAAAAAAAAAAGCATATATAATGCACCCCTTTATTTAACAACCTGTTTTTCTCTACAAATAATGATCTCCTTTTTTGGTTTTTTCTTTTAACTCTTTACATTTTAAAATTTTTTTTTCTCTTCATATAATATTACTAGCTTAACACTGGGTTCGTTAACATCTGTGATCGTAGTCCCAGCTTTTTTAAAAATATTCCATAAATTTTCATTTCGATTAGATGAAAATGATTCAGTGTCACTTTTCTTTATTTTTCTTTTGATTTTTTTTTTTTTTTTTTTTTTTTTTTTTTCTTTAACTGAAAAAATGTGAAGTCAAACAGTTCATTGCAAACATTTTTGTTCAGGGTTTGGGAGAGGGATACTAGTTTATTGGAATCTTTTTTTTCCTTTTTTTTTTTTTAAGTATATCACTGTTTGCCATTCATGCAGTAATTACTCAGATTAACAAGAAATTTAGAAAAATCATAGAAAATTTTTAAATTCCATTTTTTTTTTTTTTCATCCCCATTTGAGAGAATGAAAGAATCCATTTTTTTGCAAGCTCAGGGTTAGAAGTTCAAGTATTAAACAAAGAAAATGTATACATGAATTTTTAAAAAAGAATTAAAAGAACGTTCAGTACGAACATATGTATGTGTATGTCACAATGGTTTCTCTAAAATAGTTTTTGACTTGTCATTTGTGTATCAATGGTTCAAAAATGGCATGTGTGTATTAAGTATACACATATGAAGGTGATGTAATATGCCTGGATATATATGTGATGTACTTGAAAAAGAGAAAGAATTTACAAGAAGAAAAAAAATGGAGAACTATTTCTCTATCCCTTCCCAAAAGAAATAAAATATTAATAATGAGGATGGAAAGAAGGCCTAGACAAAATTCAAATATTTTGTCTTGTATATATGTGTGTATGTATGTACCTTGTTTAAATGTTGGCATGGTTGCTTAAAATGAAATTCTGCTACTTTCATTTCATAGATTATTTAGTAAAAGCTCCTCAGTAAGCATAATTCTTTCATATTTTCAGTTATGAAAAAATGGTTATTTCATAAATCATTTTTGTAATAACCAGAATGAAAAAAGGAAAAAAACCACGTGGAAGATTTTTTTTTTTTTTATAGTCTTATACTAATAAAAACAAACGTGATGGGTGGTGAGCGCTCGCTTAAATAGATTCATTTTGATTTTCAGAGATATTTTTCGATAATTACAATACAACGAAAATGGTCATTTGAAAATGGACGAAACGAGGAGGTAACTTTTTACAGAGTTACTCCCCTTGGTTCCTTAATTTTTTTTTTTTTTTTTTTTTAATAATCCAATTAAATAGCTGATATTCGTTATTTTCATGTTATAACATTTCACTTACATCTTACGATTCAAATTAAGGACAACGATTGTGAAAATTGATAGAATTTTCATGACCAGGTCCTCATATTTGTTTTTAAGAGTTTGATTGGCAAAGTCTCCCTTTCTGACTATTGCTTACAGGTTTTATCTACTTACAATAACCCAAATACATTATTCATTATCCTTGAGTACTTATATGTATTCTTTGTAAGACATTCAATGGCCAAGTGTCATATTTGGCTTGTGCTTCTGGTATAGTCATCTGATTGTGATTTTTTTTTTTTTTTTTTTCTTCTTGATAACATTCTCTGTCAGTAATTTTAAGAGATCGCTATTATTAAGAAAATATACTGGGGGTATTAAAAGAAAAAAGTATGTTGATGTAGTAATACCCTGCCCATAACTGACATAATGTTTCAAAATAAAGCCCCAAAGATTTTAATATTGATAAATATGTTTACTTAAACATTTAAATATTAGGTTGTTAATATTGTCAAAAAGAAATGTTTGGATTATGGCTTCAAATCTATAAAAAAAAAAAAAAAGTAAAGACATTGCAGTGTTTTCATTTATATTTCTTATATCCAACTAATAAATGTACAGTCCTCAAACAATGTGACAGTAAAAAAAAAAAAAAAAAAAAAATTTATCTTATAAACCATTTTCTATTTATCAAATTTTATGCTTCATGCCTTCATGTGACAATTTTTTAAAAAGTTTCTTAATATTTTGTGTTATTTTAACCGTTTGCTTTGTGATTAAAATAATTGTTTATTTCTCACTGTCATCAGTGGTCAGTGTTTGAGCCTGGGTGAAAGGTAGGGTTTCAATTTATTTATTTTTTTTTTTTATCTCAAGGCAAGCAAGCATCTGAAAGCTTGGTGTAACACAATCTTTCTATCTTTGTTATCCCCTTTTGGTCTTGTGCCAAACTAAGCTAAGTCTATTGAATATATAAGTCATGTTTAGCATAAGGACACTGTCCAGATTATTTTCTTCAACCAATATCTGGCAATGTAAATTAATTATTGTTTTACAAAAATGTTAGGTTTTGAAAACCGTTAAAGCATCGAGATTCCTTCTCCCGTTCCTCTAGTTATTTCTCGTAGAATTTTTCATTTTCAGTAATAAAATTTTTTAAAATTCTGATTTTTCTTTTTAAAATTAAAATATAAAAATATACCTGAACGCACATTCGCCATTACTTAGCCAGTAAAATTTTGATGGGAGATAATTCGTGTGAAAGTTACTTCCCTTGGTCTGATGGTGACTTGTTTTTATAATTTTAAGTTTCCTTCAAAAAAAAAAGCAGTTAAATATAAAACTGTTTTGACTTGTTTCCTTTTTGTATTTAACTCTTAAAGAGGAAACGAAACATTATATTGTATTTTGTTACTGAATGAAAGTTTTGAATATTTCAAAACATTTTTTAGTTGCAAAAATGTTTATACTAATTTTTCTACAATTTGATTAACATCTGTTTTAGCATTTTTTGTTTTAGCATTTAATTTGATAATTAAATATTATTTTAATTCAGACTTAAAGTGGCTTTCATCTTCTAAATATTCATACAAATGACTTTTATTAGTAAGACATGTTCATATAAAAATCAAAACATCATTTTTTTTCTTTATTATGGATATATAATTAATTTGTAACATTGAATTATCAGCAACCATTAAATTTTATTCATAAATATTCAACAAAAATATTTTTAAATGTTTTTCGTCTTTTTTGTCATATATGCAATTTCATAAAATTATATTCTGTAAAATTTCTGCTTTCAAAAGTTTTTAACAAAAAAAAGTTAAAAAAAAAAAAAAAAGACTTGACAACCAAATTTTTTTGATTTTAAAAAAAAAAAAAAAAAAACTCCCCTATCCCAGATGTTTTGGTTATACAATTTACACCTTTTCAGACTTTGTGCAAATGACTTTCTTTTTTGATATGAATGAAGAATATCCTTTAAAAATCTCATCACTTGATAAAAAAAAAAAAGAAAACAAAAAAACCATTAAACTCAGCAACATAAGCCACATTTTAAGCAACCTATAGCCAATGTTATGCTTGATGTATGTGTCAATTATGTTTGAATACTTAGGTCAAAAGGGGTTTAATATGACATCCTATTTTTTACAACGATGGCAATAGGACTTTTTCTTTTCATAAATGGTTCTAAAAATACAATTCACTATTTTTTTTTTAAATCCATTACTATAATTTGTGACTTATAAATTTTTTATACATTCATATTTTTAAACATTAATCTTATCTTTATTTGAACTATATACCTCATTCTTTGTGGCCACTATATTCTTAAAGATCAAGTCCAACTAAAAACTTAAGCTTTGAACTATCTTATCAAAAGAAAGAAACATTCCATTTATTTGATTTTTATTATAAATGTGTAGTGATTTCTCACCACAACAGTTATTCCTGATAATTTTTTTTAATTCCTTCCCCAACAATTGTTTTTGAAGATGCTTTTACCTGACTTCAGATTCTATATGAAATTTTCTTATTTTCTGTTTTTCCAAATTTCTTTTAAAAAGTAATTATTAAAAAATGTTTTTATTATCATAGTGGAAAAATATCTGAATAAAAATAATTTTGATATGGCTATTTTCTGTATTCCTTAAAACAACAGTTTAAATGGCCAAGTCATCTTGCTTCTTGATGAAATAATTTAACTATGTTGTTTTGCAGTAACTATCGGTATTTTTTTCCACTCTAAAGAAAAGTTTCTCAGTTTGAATGTTTAAAATACATTTGCAGAATATGAACCCAGGTAAAATAAAGAAAAAAGTATAATTAATTTTCTTTTTCTTGTTTTCTTTGGTCATTTTAATTTAAAAATTTTAAACCTATAAAAAATTAGTAAATTTTAAAATTTTAAACCCATTTACAAATACTTAGTGCACAAATTAAACCTTTTAAAAGAGTGTCTATTTTCGTAAATGACATTTATCTTTGGTCCTTTCTTTTATAAAAAAAAAAAAAAACGAAAAACGATTTTTGATCTTCACCATCAATTTTTATTGTCACTCCACAAAGAAGTAATTTTTTTAAAAAATTGTTAATGCTTGGCAGACTATTATGTAAATAGAACTGAAAACATTTTTATAGCAGAAAACAAAATATTTACACTTGTTACAATACAATTAGTCACACTTACACATCTTTAGTGGTGCCTTATTTTGATTTTAGCCCTACACAATTGTATATATGAAACACTGAGCAGGCACCACACAAAACTTTTCTTGTATAGTAGAAAATATAATTCTTGACTTTGGTTATACATTTTGTTAACCTTCAACACAAATGTTTTCAATATAATTACATTATTCAAATCAGAAATATAAAGTCTTGTTTTTTTTTTTTCTCTCTCTCTCTTATACTGATTTAACTTTTTCACATTTTTGGTAAGATATTTCATCCCTGAAATATGAATTAGCTTTATACACAGAGACCTCAAATAATTATAATTATCAAATAATTTTTGTTTTAAAAAAAAAAAAAAAAAAAAAAAAAAGTTTTTTTTTTCTTAATCTATTTTTAAACTTATTTGAACATTGGTGTATCCTTGTCCTCTTTACAATGCCACTGTAATGTTTCCATAAAGTGAATTCTGGTTGAAATTCAGTATTTAGCAAGGTAGTCATACAGATTAGTGAATTTATTCCTTATTGAATGTGTATCATTCTGTGTCAAAACTGGTTTAATCTGATAGCTATTGCTACCATTTCTTGTATAGGATTGTGTTGAAAATGCACACCTTAAAAATGATAAAAAAAGCAATATTTTTCTAGAACATTCCATGAAGATCATCTTTCTTGATGAAAAATAATATATCAGATTCTTTGGTTTTTAAAGATTTTGAATTAAACAGTAAACCTTTTGTTTAATTTAATATTGGAGCTGCTGTTGCTATGCCCAATAACTGTGAGCCAATTTTGTTTTTATTGAATATGTTAGCTAAGAATGAATTGTAGAACCTAAATACTAATCCTAATCATTAATATAGGGTTCTTTTATTTTCCACCCTTTTTATTGTTGAACATTTGTATTAAATTTAAATTGCTCTTGGCAAACAAACAACTTCTTCATTATTAATTAGAAGTTTTAATATTGAAAATGGATTTTATACAAATGAAGATTTGAAAAAGGGACTGCTTTTTACTGCTATATCTGTTCTTTTGTTCCTGTTTTTTTCTAATTGGTTTATGAGAGTTTCTTAACTAAACGTAATTCATATTTCAAATTGCAAAAGTTTCTAGTTGGACTTGTCTAGAAAGAATTTTCCGTTGATCATCTAACAGATTCTCTTTTTAATATTATTCCTCTGTGTATGTATTGATAAAAAAAAATACTTTACACTGTGAAGGAACTAAGGGAGATAACTTTTATTTGTATTTCCCCATTTCGACCAAACTTCTATTCATGCTGGGCATTGTAGAAGGTTAAAATCTATTAAAAAAACATTCTGGGTCAAGTTATTCATTTATTCTCCTCATTTTATTAATCTTTTATTTATTTAAAAAAGTTGATTCAAACATTCGTTAAATCTATGGCAAACATTTTTAACTAAGTTTTTTTTCTTACATTTTTTTAATCACTTTATCACCACAAGAAATAAAATCACTTTTTTTTTTTTTTTTTTTTTAATCATCATCCTTCTTGTCTTAATGAAAACAAAAAGGTGTATTTATCTGTTGGAAGAAATATTTAATTCCAACTTCTGTGTAATGTTTAATATGTATAGCTTAATATTGAGCTTGAGGTATTATTTTACATCTTCAAGTGAAAGGTTCGCATATTGTTAACTTCCTCATACATGATTACATCTGAGCAGATCTTGCTGCTAATGTTGGTATTATTTACCTACCCTGACTCCTTAATAATTTTTTTGAGAACTGCATCTTTTTTTTTTCTGGTTACTATGTGACAGTTAACTCTCTACTTGCATTAGGAACCATTTGTTGTTTATTGAGGAAGAAGGCAATACCATTTTTTCTCAATGTTATCATCATTTTTTGGCCCTTATTCTCAATTGACTTGCATTCATGTTTTGTTTTCAATTTTTACCAAGTTCACAAGGATGAAAATATCCACTCTGAAAAAAAATCATTTTTCATTTTTTGAATTTTATTTTCAATTAAAAAAAACTTATTTTTTTAGCCACTAACGGTAAAATTCTTAATTCTACTCTCTAAGAAAGGGGGAAACAAATGGAGTGATTATCATTGCTATATTGATGTTGGTTCTATTAAAAAAAAATACTTAACTTGGTTGACTTGGGGTTTTTGAGCCAAAGAGTGGACATCTTAGGCTTCAGGCAAGCCTTTCATGCATACACCACCCAGAGCCCACATGCAACGTTGTCAGTATACATTTGTGTACTTGTAAAATTCATAATACTCAAGTGGTACATAAATATTTACAATATGAACATTTTATTCAATCTTTCTCATGTGATTGAGTGGAAATTTTTGCTTCTTGTGGTGATTAATTAAATTAAGCTTGCCTGTAAATTTTGCTGTCTTAAATGAGACCCTCACTCCCACCCACCATGTCTATTTCCCACCCACCCACTTTTTTTTCTTCATCATTAAAAAAAAATACAGAGTAGATTTTTTCTTTAATGCATAACTTACTTCCCTGTCAGCAATATTTTTTTTTATTATCTATATATTAAAAAAGGGGAATTATTTGATATACTTTGCTGTATTGAAAATATTTAATCTACAATAAAAGATAACAGTAAAAGAAAGAAAAAAGAAACTGAAGTCTTTTTTATTGTTGATAAACAAATTTTCTATTGATGATAGAAAATTCTATTCAAATAACAAAAACAATTATTTTAAATACAATCTTTATAAGCAGACTGTTAATGTTTAAACAAAGTTAATTGCAAACATGTTTAATTTAAATGAATAACATATCCTGTATCTTATCCTGCTTTCATTTACACCAAAATACAAATTTTAAGCACTTCACTGACTGGAATTTAAAAATTTATTTTAAAAAAATGGAAACAAGCATAACTTTTTTTCTCAACTGTATTTTTTTATTATTAAAAAATAAAAACTCCAGTACATAAAAATTAAAGTTATTTTGGAGTTTTAAAAAATGATTTTTTCAAAATATCTGTTTTAAATTTTAAAACATAATTAAGTACAAAATGAAACTATTTAAATCTTTCAAAAATAAAAACTCACTAAATTTAAAAATGAATTTTGTTTTAGTCTCTGATCAGTTTATCTATTAGAGAAAACAAGTCATCTTATTAAGTCAGACAATGTGCTTTTTATTTTATTTTATTTATTTTTTTGAGAACAGGGAAGAAAAACGAATGTAATTCATTCTGCATTTATTGTGAATGCTTTAAAAAAAAATGAATAGAATAAAATGAAGCTAAAGCAATTTTTTACCTACAATTTTGAAAGAAAAATGGATATATGTATATAATAGTAAAATTTATCTGAATGAAAATCATCAGAATAAAATTTTTTAAAATTTGTATATGCATATATTTGACCAAAAACTGTTTAGAGTTAAAACTGTACTTTGACAATCTTTGTTTTTAATTTTTCATTTGCTCTCTCTCACTGTCAGAAGTGGGGGAAAAAATTTCAAATACTGACTTTAAAAAAAAAAACTTTACAAATGTAGACAAAAGAGAAATGAATGAGAAAATATCTTTCTCTCCTACCAAAAAAATCAAATAGGCACACAAAAATGCTTTCAAATTATCATTTCTCACTTCAAAGAATAGAAATTATTTTATGCAATAATTTGCAATCTGCTGACAGGGGCATTGTTTTTTACTTTTTTATGTATTTAGTTTTCATTTTTCTTTTTAATTTGTAAATGAATCCCCTTAATTTCTTTTGTGTTTTCTTTTTTCATAAAAATAAAAAATAAATTGAAAAATACTTGTACAGACCAAAAGTGAGCCAGTTATAAAGTAAATTTATATGTTTTTATCCAATGTTGAAGACCCATTTCTATACAGTGTAATATAAATTTACAACATCTTTTTTTTTAAATGATTAAAAAAAGACATTAAATTGTAAATGCAAGTAATTAAAAGGGTATTTAAAATGTTTAAAGAAAAATAAATGAATCAAAATGAGGGGGGGGGACTGTTATGAGCAGACTTTCTTTTTTTTTTTTTTCTTCCCCCACACTGTAAAAAAAAAAAAAAAAAAAAAAAAAAAAAAAAAAAAAGCCAAAACATTATCAATTAAAAATATATATATATATATCAAGTGTATGGGTGTGTGTATATAATAATGATCATATATATTTGTTTTTGTTTATCTTTCCATTTTTGTGGTTATTTCCTTTTTTTAATTTATAATATAATTTAAATTTTTAAATTTAAATTTTGAATATCTGGCCATTATAATTCCCTGTACAGAAGAAACATGAATTTTTTTTTTAACCTACCCCTTCCCTTGATTTTTTTTTTTTTTGTGTGTGTGTGTGTGTGCATCTGTGTGTGTGGCCTTGTTTGGTCACTCTTGGTAACTGTAGTCTGTTTGCCTTTTCTCTAAAAGCAATAAAAATATTTCAGAATTTCATTTTTTTTTTCTCTCTCTCTCTCTCAACAATATTTGATTTTAGTTTTCTTCCTTTACTGCACTTTTTTTACACCGCCATTTCTTTTTTTCCTTTTTTTTATTCTTGCTTTCTAAATCCTTTCTTTCCCTCTACCTCTTTTTCCTGCTCCATTTTCCTCACCCTCTTTTTCACTGCTTTCTTTTTTGTACCTACTCTTCCCTGCTTCCTCTTTTTCTCTCCATTTTAACCCAGCCTTTCTCTTTTTCCTTTTGATCCTCCTTTTCCCCAATTTCTTTTTCCTTCTCCTTTTTTATCTTTTCCTTTCTCTTTTTCTTTTTCATTTTATTCTCCACAATTCCCCTTTTTTTACCTCTTCCTGCATCTCTTCTTTCTCTTTGACTCATTTTTTTTTTGCTTCTAACACCTTCCCCAATTCCCTTTTCTCCTACTTTTACCTCCACGCCTCTTTTTTTTTTTTCTCTTTTCTCCTTTTCCATTTCCAAGCTATCAATAGTGTATAAACCTTTTTGTTAACTCCTTTATTTGAAGAGACACATTTTTGTTAATTGTTTTTTACATTTTTTTTTTTTTTTTTTTTTTTTTTTCTTTTTTTTTTTTATAGAAAAAAGTCATTTTTACATTTTATTTAATGTTTTGTGCCTGGATTTGGAGGGGGGAAACAAAAGAAAGGATTTTTTATTCTCTAAGACCCAACAAGATTTTTCCTCTCTCCTTTCAATATTACTTTTATTCTACTCATATGCAAACTTTAAATTGAGCAATGCAAAAGTATGGCTTTAAATATTAGCCACTTCCTTCAACCCTAATTCCCTCCTTTTCTTGTGAACTAATGATGAGAAAATGTTTGGTATAGAATAGAAGAAATAAAAAAGCCTTAGTCATTTAGTTTGGGTATCAAGTCAGAATGCGTTTAAGTGACTCTTTAAAGACAAAACATCATGACTGAAAAATAAAAAATTCTATGGGTTTAATCATAGTTTCTTTTTATTCTTTCCATCCCTTCATCTTGGTAAACACTTGACCTTAGTCCAAAACAATAAAAATAAGGATTGTATAAAAGTTGATCTAGTCAGCTATTTACCAATAACTTTCATATACAAAATAATAAAAGAAAATTGGGAGGAAACTCTTTTTCTATCCAGTTCCATTTTTGATGAGAGAAGAAAAAGAATCCTTTCTATAATCTCCAGTCTAAATAAAAAATAAAAATTGGATATTTTGATTCAAGTTTCTTTTCAATACTTTTTTAATCTAACTGACATCAGGAAGAGCAAGAAATTGTGAACCCTATATGCTCCAAAAACCATAGCAAGGCATTATTAGAAAAACATTACCCTTGAAAGTAATTCAGATAACTGTAAGCAGATAATTCAAATCTTAAGTATATACATCAGTGACAAAACTTTGGGCTGTCTATTTCAGAGGCTGGTGTTAGAAATGGTGTATAGCAAATGGTTGACTAAAGGAATTTACTGTCTTCATAAGCTTTGGAACCAGTAAAAACACTTGTGTTCATCTTAAGAATTATAATTGTCTTCTTTCGGCTATAATTAATTTGTTCTTTATTATAAAAAGTAGATACAAATTAAAATACTCTAAAAAAAAATAAAGGAAGTAATATTCTGCTATCTATTAAGTATACTGATTAAAAGAGAAAATTACCTGTAAGCCAGTCAGTCTATTGAACTATGTTCAACTATAAAGTCAAACCCAAGAACTATTAGATTATTACATAAATTCATTCATTATTTTTATAATTTATTTTAATGCTTTTTATTTATTAATAGTTCTGATGAATCATTCAACATTGTATTCCCCCTTCATTATTTACAACCTCCTGCCAATAATCAACTAATTGTTCAATGCTTCGATAATATAAATCAGTACATTTTGACTCAAAAAATTCACCAAGCCACATTTTAAACTCTACATCTATTGTAGAACAAAGCACCCCTCAGATTGTTAGAAAGCGACAAAAATGGTGGTAGTCTGAAAGAGCTAAATCTGGAGAATATGATATGTGTGGCAGAAATTCCTAATGATGGTCTTTCTTTGTATCCATGAGTAGCCTGTTATTGAGAGAGTAATCTGACAGCAATGGAGGAGTGATGGAGTTTTTCTCTCAGTCATTGCATGTGACATCCTTGTATGTCTTTCTTGACCTTACCCATTGAGTGAAGATGACAAGCAAAAGTAATATAAGAGCTTGCCACCTTCTGGGCCAATTTCCTAGTGGTGTGGCATAGTTCTTTAATCAGCATGTGCAATTGGTTCTCATCAAACTGAACAATCAGCCAGGATGCAGAGAGTCTGTGAGTTTAAACTTCCCTTCCTTGAAATGGGAAAACCATTTCTATGCCATTCTGTTAGTAATAATGTCATCTCTGTACACAGCACGAATGTTTCAAGCTACTTCAACAGCTTTGTGACCTTTGATTAAAAGCAGAGATTATATTGAAATATGCTCATTCCATCTCAAAGGGCTGTCTAATCTGAAATGAAATTTCAATAACATTAGACAATGGTTTCACAAGATGACCAGAGTTACTAAGAAGCAAAAAAAAAAAAGATTTTTTGAGATCATTCACAAAACACCAGAAAAAACAAACAAATATATGTAAAAACCTAATAAAATATTATAATCTAATTTTAAATACCTGATCAAAAAATATTATTACTTATAGCAAATGAGACAATTTGGATAACTATTTTGACATGTTTTGCCAATGAACCAATGTCATCAGGAAAGTGTTATTTTACTTCTAATTATTTATATGATAAATGTTATGATTATCCCAATTCTCAAATTCTCACTCTATCTTTATTTATTGAGTGTAGCTTAGCCTTCTAATAAGACTAATCATTATGATACAGTAAGCTCCCTGATTTTTGGTATTAATTTTGCTTAGGTCATTTTCATAAGTCAAAATTAACAAGATGTACATGGCCTTTCCATTTCTTCACCAGCACTCTTTGACAGCCAATTAAAGAAGACAGCGTTTTATATATATAATATATATATATATATATATAAAACACCTCATTTTAAATAAGGGTATGGTAAACCACAGCATACATTGGAGTACCTCCTGAAAAAGTTTATAGCCTAAGCCTCCAGTTTGAAACATTGGGTTTAAGATTTCCCTTTTGTTTTCTATATGTAAATACAGTATGTCATCTAGACTGATATTTCATATTCAGTTCTCTCTCTCAACACAATGGGATTATCATAAAATTCTACTGAGGAGTTCTCTGTGTCAGTAATCTGTGATTGACTTTTCCTAAGTTTTGATGTTACCATAAGTCTGTTTTGTTCTCTTATTTCTCTTCTAATTTGATTCTTTTCAGGTACCATTTGTAAGTTTTCTTTAACCCTTTGGGTGCAGTGTCCACCATATGAAAATGACACCTGTATTCTTCTAAGATCATACAGTTTATACATTCAGTGCTCTGTTTGCTTGCTGAAACTAAAACTTTTTATGGATGCATAGTTTTGTGCAGGTTGCACTAGAAATTTTTGGACATTGCTCAAATTTTTCATTTCTGATGCAGCAACTTCATTTAAAATCTGTTTCCAATCATTTGAAGCAAATTTCTTTGCAAATTAGGTGAGTTTCATTGCTTTTTTTTGTTTTGTTTTTTTTTGCACATTTTTCTAAAGTAGAAAGTAAAATAAATTCATTTACTTAGCTGTTAAATATCTCTAGTCTTTCATGAAATACATGAAAATCAAAGGGATATTTAACAAATTTATTTTACTGATGTTCTATCCCTTGATATTGATGCTATAATTACAAAAATTGTTTGTCTTAAATATGTTATATTCTAGAATTCCCCTGGTTGACCGAATTTCAGCAAAATACAATCTTTGTTATATAATGTAGATCAAAATGTAATTGTTTCAGATATTTCTAAAAAAAAAAGTTTTTTTAATTGCACACTCAAAGGGTTAAATAGACAAGTTATGTCATTTATATATCAAAATCAATGTAGATGTCATTAATTTTGTTCCATTTAGGTTTGGGTATAAAAATATATTTTAAGGTTTACCCTAAGCTCCTCACTTCAACCAGACAGTCCCAAGTTGCATTCAGAGGTGGTGCTTTTTCTTTTTTTTTTTTATTAACATAAATTCCTCCTGTATCTTGATATTATGTCCATGGAATCTATTGCATTCAAATGCAGAAAGTAGTGTCGTGATGCAGACTGCTTGGCATACAGCTAATTTGGTGCTTACTTTATGATAACTGTTTTTTGAAAGATCTTGTTCTAAGCATTTATTTAATTAATGCAAAATTTCTTTCTTTCTTTTTTTTTTTCTTGTTTACTATTTGAGCATTGAATGGAGCAGATTTTGTATTGAAAGTCAAGAACTCTATTACAATCTGCCAAAATAAGTCTTCATTCCATGTATTATTCTGACTAATTGTCTCTCATCATGGAATGTTAATAATTCTTGTCGAAATTTCAGACAGCACTCAAATAAAAGTCAGTCAAGATCATAGCAGCCTTTTGATTTGATTGAATATCATGACTAGGTCATTCAGTACAACCTGAAGCAGTTGTTGTCCACTAAACTCTTGCCATTTTCTATAGTTGTTGGTGTTGGTTGTTGAGCAAAAACCTGAGTGTATTCATGAGGCAAATATAACCTTCTTTAAATCAAAATTATTGAATTATATAATTGCTTACAGTGTTCCAACCCTCACCTCTTTACATACCTGGTACCAAAGAATAAGTTTAGAAAGACTATTTTAATGTCTGTAAAAAAGCAGAAAATAGTTTATTTTTATTATCTTTAACAAACTCACATTTGAAAAAAAAAAAAATTCCTTTAGTTAGTGTTTTTATTAACAACTAAATGTTTAAAAAAAAAAAATCACCTTGAACCAGGTGTATAATGGGTTTGGAACAGCATAATTTAAGCATAAGTTGATTTTGCTTTTAAAGTAGGTTATATTTACTATAGGAGAAAATGATGATTTTTATCTATTGTTAAATTTAATAAAAATCCCCACCCCATTTCACTTGGACCCTATTTTTCTTAATGCATATGTGCTTCCTCAACTTAGACCTCAATAGAACTAATTTTAACAACATAAAAAGACAGGTCAATAACTACAAATATTTTTTTAAATACTAATCAAATGGTGTTTGACTAATTTATAATTTATTTCTGGGATTAAAATACAAAAAAAATTGATTTTTGAAGCCTCATTTTGGGCT